CCTGGCCAAGCAAGAGTAACTCCATCGACGGGACTGTAGTGTGGGGTAGGGCATTTGACCGCCGTTGTGTTGGGGAACAACTGTTCCCACAAAAATGGAATGTGTGTCTGTGCGAACGTAGCTAGGTCCGGGAATATGTCCACTATAAAATCGACCGAAGGCATGATGAGATAAATTAAGAACCACTATATTGTTTATGTATTTAAATGGTGAGGATAGTGTGTTTGATACATACACGCGTGAATAAGTGTGATTATTCAAAATGATTTGATATGCAGTCTACTATTATAAATGTACACATTTATCTGGAACTTGTTATGCTTTATTTATTTACTTGTGATCCGAAACTCTGGACTGTCCCTTTTTATACAAACCGTGCACCACCTTTTTGAAACTTGTATTTATGTATGTACATACATACATATGTATGTATGTACATACATATGTTTGTATGTACATACATATTTATGTATGTACATACATATTCAGCCGAATTCCAAGTTGCTCTCCACTTTTCCAGTCTCCGCTTTCTCACATTGTCAGAGCTTCAAGCCTGAGAGTACGCTCCATCAATCCTGACAATCCACGAGACTTAAGCTCATTACGTTTTACGTTTTAACGTTATACGTATACAATTGAATACTTTTGATATATTTTTAAACGTTCATCGCCTACTTTGGTTTGGTCCTCAATATTTATTTAGGGTGCAATATACAGGTTTTAAGGTACAATGTATGGATAATTATCCCACACATAGTCATATTGTATTTCAATACAGGTGTCCTGTTCTGCCCCACCTATACGTTTTACCGTTTGTATAAACTTATCTAATACGTTATACCGTTTTTATAAACTTATTTTTATTTAAAATACGTTATACCGTTTGTATAAACTGTAGTTACGTTTTTACCAGTCTCCCAAAAAGCCAAGCGAATTCCGTGCAATACTTTCCATAGCAACGGACAAGCAGACACCCAAGTATTTTTCTTGTTCTTTTTTTAGGAGGCTCTGATTCTTCTGATGAAAAAAGCCAACTTTGTTTTTTAGAAAAATGAATTCACCCACGACAGACAGTGACAGTCTGACACACAACAAGTATTTATTTATTTCTATAAATATATAAATAAATAAACAATAAATAAATACACACGGGCTATAAATAAATACGTGTAGCAAGAGACCATAAAGCATTGTAGAATGGGTGTATTTATATATTTATTCTGTCAATATTTCAAAAATAAATAAATTTTATATATATATATTGACGTTTGCAGTGTAAAATGTAAAAACGGTACATCAGGTATTTTTAAAGCTCTCTGGTTGAAGGCATTTGAATGTGATGTTGAGGGCAGATCTTCAAGACTTCAACCTCCTGCTAATAAATAAATATCATAAGTTTATGTAAACAGTATCGTACTGTAGTGGATACCACAGAACAGTAACTACATTTGCATACACGTAATAACACACGCCTTTCTGGTATTTATACACTCTAAAGTATGTGCAGGCATGTACACGTGTATAGTGTGAATACTTGACAACATCGACGTTGAATAAGGCAAGCAAGCTGTGAACACCTCTTACAGCTGAATTTGGTTTTAAACCACAGCACTACGTACATTAACTATCATCAATCACTGGTATAAAACAGCTTTGATCTGAATTATACTACCTTTAGTTACTGTTAAATTGAAAATATTAGGGTAGTATATATGGGCGATATATACCTCATGGAATTACATCCTGGTACCAAACATCGCATACATACATATCCGTCATTGTAATGAACGAAAACATACAAACCAATATTCAACATAGGCAAGCAAAGTAGTGCTCATATAGCAGATCTACATGTATCTCAAACACATACGGATTTAAAGACCATATGCATAAACATATAGGCTACCGCATCTATAGGAAGTTCAAAAGCATTTCAGAATAAGCGCTTTCGGTACGTATATGATGTGCGATATGTCTATTAAATCTGGATGATTGAGATCATGAAATAGAAAGCGAATTGGGAACTATGAGTACTCAGGCAACATTGATCTGTATTCACATAAGCGCATGTGTGAGCAACAGTAAACCAGTATAGTCAGGTAGTTGATATCATATCCATGAATTTATATATATATACACATATATATATATATATATATATATATATATATATATATATATATATATATGTATGTATGTATGTATATATTTATGTATGTATATTTTTATGTATGTATATGTATGTGTATACATATATATGTATATATATATATATATGTATATATATATATATATATATATACGTATATATAAATATATATATATATATATGTATAGAAATATATGTTTATATTTATTTATATATATATATACATGTATATATATATATATATATATATATATATATATACCTATATATGTATGTATATATATATATATATATATGTATACACTATATATATATATATATATATATATATATATATATATATATATATATATATATATATGTATGTATATATGTATATATATATATATATATATATATATATATATATATATATATATGTAT